TTAGTATTAATTTGATTAATACGAGAATAGTCACAATTTTATCATACTTCTCGTGGGTTTGACCCTTACTTGCTGCTACTATAATTAGTGAAGGTTTGTTTAAGGAAAACTTTATAGATTTAAATTTGCCACGTGATGCGCAGTCACATACCCTGAGGTAGATTTACTTTCATGCCAATATGATTGAAAACCATAACAGTGTAACCTAGAGACACCAATTCATTTGTTTGATAAACTAGCATGTAATTCTTAGTCCTACTCATTTACTTGAGTATATGATTTACTGCAGACCAATATCTTTGTCCTGGGTTACTTTGATATCTTTCAGGCTTTCAGCCATGCCCACAACATAAAAGTGATTCATCACAACATTGCATGTATTCTATTGTCGTTGCATAAGAAAATGTCTACATCCCTTTATCTCTTAAGTCTTGAGAGTTCTCCTTGGACAGAGACACTCCATGTTGAATTATAGAAAACATTTCTTGGAGTTATACATGTTGAAACAGACCAGGACATTATCTATGTACAAAGCTAAGGATAAGCATAACATTTTTTCTTGAGATTGCTAATAACTTTGATCCCAAGAATATGTCTTGCTTCTTCCAAGTATTTCATATCAAACTGCTTGAACAACCATACTTTCACGTCTGACAACACTTTTACATTGTTGTCTAGTGAGAATGATGTCGTCTACTTGTAGTGCAAAAAATACCACCATGTTTATGTCACTTTTCTTGTAACCGTAATGTTCATCGAAAAGCTGAATAAATATATACGATTGGATTACCTCATCCATTCGAATGTTCTAAGACGTAAATGCTTATTTTAGTCCATAAATGGACCAATGCTCTTAAACCTTTGAGGCGAACTCTTTTGGTTGTGGTATACAGATTTATTCCTTTAGACTTGTGTTAAAGGAATGGTGTCCTGATAACCAAATCTCATAATCTATATGAGTGGCAAACTGGCAATAGTCAAGACGATCCGGATGGCACATAACCATCAATAATTATAAAGTGTGTAAACAAATAATAAATTTTATAGATAAATTTAAGAAATATTTTATTTATATTTAAAAATTATAGAGAGAAGTAAATAGATGAGTAATATATTTTAAATTGGTAGATGAAGAAATGAGATTCAGAACATATCTAATTTTTAACTATGTTTAAAAAAACATTAAGGACAAGGTAAACAAAATAATGGAAAGTTCGGATTTAATGTCAAACTAGTACAACATCCGTGTATTACACGGGTGCTTGTTAAAAAATTATTTTTATATTTTAAAATTAATAAGAAAACTATATTAAATTTAGTTTACTTTTTTTACCAAAAAAAAATATATTACTATATATTTTAGAATGATATGTGTTACTCATGACTTACAGTGTTATATTATATTAGTTTTTATAACTTGTATCATATAACTACTTGAAATATAAATATATTAGTTGATAAATAATTTTATTTTTCTAATTAATATTAAAAATAATTTTATTATTGTTATAAAGATAAATATAAATTATTTTTTTATACATCAATATGGATGTTAAATCGAAGTTCATCAAAAGAAGATTAATTTGATATATTACATATGTAAAACTGATAAAAAATATAAAAGTTATTAACTTTTAAAATATATATACAATTCAATAGTTATAATAAGAAATGATATTAAAATGCAATTAATACATGTAACATGACCATAAATAATCAACATATTTTGGTAATCCGAACCTAATTATTTTTTGTTTGGAATTAAATTAAAATTTACCCAAGCCTAATAACGAAGCATATAATTTTGGCACATACGATTCCGAAGCACCAGAAGCAACCACGTAGGCTCATCGCGTTCTGGATTAATATATAGGGGGAGGGGGGATTTACTTTAATTTTTTATTAGTGTAAAGGGACATTCATTTTCTGTGTTTGCGTGAGCATTGTAGTATTCGTTTTATACACGGTTACTAAAATTAGTTACATTTTGAAGTGATAGACAAACAGAAACAAACCCAGTCCACGAAATTTGGGTATGTACCTAATTTACAACAACAGCAACATGATATACATTCCAGTTTTCCGTTTTCTACTTACTAGACGATGTGTCTATACGTTTCCTCTTAAGCGGTCCTCGGTTACTCCATTTGTTGCTTCAGTAGAGATGACGAGAGCAGACTGCAGAATTGAGCAAAGCGTTTTACAGAACACGCATATGATTCACAAATCTTTCAACATTTAAATATTTATCACCATTCCTATTTCCTTTAAAATGTGACTAAACACATTTAAGACTTGATGGACGAAGAGAATATGCAGCACTCACCATCTTAACGAGGCGAATAGCAGCAGGTCGTGTGAATTTCCTCGAAAAAAGGAAGCATCCAGATGGTTTACCCTTGCTCGTGCACCATTCTCGCCTGTTCTCGGACTTGTAGAAGATGTTATCTACAGCCTGGACAAATTAAAAACAAACTTTTTGTGAGTATCAAAGTTTGCCATGTCCCTTATCAGCTAAGTATTTTCTTTTTCTTTTTCTTTTTACATGGATGCCTTTCAATTTGACTTGTTAAGCTTTTCCTGGAGAACACAAACTAAGCGATACCAAAATCCCTTGTACTTGCAAAATGAATCACTAGGCTGTATGATACACACTACAAAAAAACTCTTACATTCCAACGGAAATTTTTCGCTAGAATTCTTTATATTTTCCGTTGGAATAGCTATTCTAACGGATATTCCTACGTATAAAAATTCGTGGGAAAAACGGCCGTTGGAATATCTAAAATCTAACGGAAAATCCTATGGAAATAAATTTCTACAACTATTCTAACAGAAAAAATCCGTTGGAATTCCTCAACCATCCAACACTTATTCCAACATAAAATTAAGTTTGTTGGAATATTCATTGGAATTTCCAATGGAAATTTTGCCGTTGGGATTTTTCGTTGGAATTAAAATGTTTTCTTGTAGTGACATTTACGTATATGCAGATATACATTCGATATTTTGGTGGTGTTGTGCATCCCCTTGTAGGGTCAATGTGTTCATCTTTTCCAAAAAAAAAATAATAAAAAAACATAAAAAAAAAATTAAAAAGTTGCATTTCAGAGGCAATGGTGATTATTTGCCATTTAATTTTGATCAGTTTACAATATACGATGTTCACTTGATATCTACAATTGAGGAAGATTAAAGACATAACTCCACTAAGACGAACATGAAGTTACTTGATTATTCCCCATTATAGTTTCGATTTCTGATTTCAGTGGCATAGCTCCTCCCAACACTTTTGTTGTTTCATAGATTTTACTTTAGATAGCTAACAGCAAATTTGTTATGGAAATGGACTTGTGAAAAATTTGATTCACAACAAATCCTTTATCATATTTTAGGCTCAGTTGCACTAATATGTATGCAGTGAAACCTTTTTCCTTTTCCCCCAAAAAAGGAAGACCTCAAACATTTCCAACTTTTCTTTCCATTTTCCACCTTTTCTCTATGTTACCCGGACTCTTCTATTTAGGAAGAATACCCGTGTCATGTTGTGTCGACACTGGTGTGGGTATGAGTGTCTGGTGTGGCATTTTAACCCAAAATGTTCAAGATTTCTAAACTATTGACGAGTCAGACGCTCATATCTCCACACCCGATACGCCACCCATATCCGAGTCCAGGTAGCACAGCCTTTTCTAACAACCAACTAGTTTCAAAACATGTCTATATATCCATGCTTCAGTAATTATGACTTTAGCACAACTCGTTACATATAACTCTCTACATGTACACGTAGGCTTCTAGGCTGTCAGTGATTTTTATTAGTAGGTTCTCACCATATGACATCATTAAATTGGAGAGGTTAAAAATGAAAGCAATCCCAAATGTACCTTGATTGACTGGATAAGTTGGGGGGTAGCATCAGCCAATTTGTAAGTGACGGGATGCCATCCTCGCCTTTCATTGTTTCTGGAGGATGATAGGTCCCATGAAGTATGAGTCAGGGACCTCCTTGTAATTTCATTTTGAAGACCTCTTTGCTGATCAGTTTAAGAAACAGGGACAAACATGGATAATCAATTAAGTCATGGGCGGATCCAGAAAACTGTGTTATGGTGGGCTAACTTGCTTTAAATAAATTTATAATGTCATAATATTTTTTAATTGAGTTTTGAAACAATATTAAATATATATGCATATAATGTACGAATATTATTTATAAATCATATTTATGTACTTATTGAGATTACGGTTATGTTTGGTAAAATTAGCTAAGCTAGCATATAGCTTATACGAATACAATGACGGATCTAGGATTTTACTCAGGGGGCCCGATTTTAAATGTTAAATAACGAGCTTGTAGTTTAAGTCCTAACTCTCATTTCATGTAAAATGTATTTACTATAAATATAAATATCGATATGTGTACCATCAAGTTCTTAAAAACAACTTTTAAAAAAAAATTATAAGCAAAAAAAAAAAAAAAAATGAGATTTTATGTATTTATAATTTAAGTTCAACATCTATAGTTTATGGACAAATAAGTTATATTGTTGCAAAATTGATTTAAATTGAACTTTTGCAGCACATTGCATAACAATTTTGTTGACAAAACTTATCAAATAAACATGGTTTTAAGAAGAAAATAAATTAATTTAAATATATGTTATTACTCAGAAAAAAAAAATAAAAATAAAAAAAATAAAGTAAAAAACCAAAATTAAAAAATGTAACAATTCAACTATATATTGGGTTTTACAAATTATTGAATCAATTTACAATTAAGAGACCGAAAACCATTATAAATATATTCAAAAACTTATCTAGAAATGTTAAATATAAGGACTGTTAGTACATTTTTTAATAACTAAATTAATATTAATAATTTAAATTAAATTAACATAAAAATAACTTTTAATTATTAATATATTGTAACTATTTTTTTTTTTTTACATTTTTATAAATATTTTATAGTATTTATATATATTATATATATTGATTTAAATAAAAATGAAGGGGGCCCATGGACCCACCTGGCCCAATACACCTCCGTCACTATATACGATGAAAGTGTTTGATAAAATTAGCTAATAAGCTAGCTGAAATATAAAATTCAGTTTATTTGAAAAGCTAACTAAAGAAATTTATGAAATAAGCTCGAGCTTTTTAAAAAAGCTCCTCCTATCAAACGGGGATTATTTGAATACATGGAGCTTATAAGCTAACCAAATAAGCTAGCTTATTTGGCTACCAAATAGCCTACTACATTTATCTAACATCGTAAAAAATGATGCTGATCTAATTTTCAGATTGAAATACAATACGTTAATATGTTATGAACGGAAGAAAAGTAGAAAACAAGTTGGGTATGGTGTCAAATATAAAAATTGGAAAAAAAAAATTAAGATTGGAATAATTTTATAAAACTTCCTATACTAGAAAGAATTTACTTTTTAATAAAGTAAAAATATAACTAGTGGGCTAAGGTAGGAGACGGCAGTAGGCCAATGCATCCCACTTTGGATCCACCAGCATTACAGCTGACTATGTTGTTGGTATCGGTCAAATGTTAACTACCTAGTCTCTATGAAAAGTCGATAACTTACAAAAAGTAAGGTTTGAACATAATGCTCATCTGGTATGCAGTTATGCTCCTTAGATCCATCCGCAGGCTGCACACAGTGACATTGAAGAAAAAGAAGAATGCAATTTTATTTTTTTCATTCGATTCAATAGTTATTTGCAATATCCAGAAATTGTCACTTTGTACTCGTCAAAATATCAGATGTTACTTAAACTAAAGAGGCTAGAGAGAATAGGAAACCGAAAAAAAAAAAAACGAATAGAACACTTACAAGGGGATGTTGCCGCCAAAACTCAGGTAATGACTTCCTCTGTGGGAGTTGAGCAAAGAGCAGTTCAATAAATTTTGTGTAACAAGTGATTACATTGCATACAACATTGTAGGAACAATTACCCGCTCCCCAACAAA